AACGAGGGGCAGTGTCCCACTTACGTGGCGTGGTTTAGGCAGAAGACACGACCAAAGCAATTCAGGGCATGGCCGCTCTCAAAGCCAGCGGTGTGAGGCCGCTTCCCGCCCCAGGAGCCTGTCTCCGCAGCAGGGACACCAGACTGAAGGGGGAGGCTCTGGCACAGGCCTTTTCCCCTTGGGAAGGAGAGGTGGCTCGGGCGCAGGGGCAGCGAAGCCGAGCGGGCGCTGCCAGAAGCCGCAATCCTAAAACAGCTCGGTGCAACTGTGACGGTCGCGGGAGGCAACGTGCCCCATCGCTTCGCCCGCAGCATAAGCAAACACTATTAGTTGGCCGTTTGACGATGCTCAAACGGAACTAAACCGTCAGGAATTAAACGGGATTAACACGGGGAAGATTTTCTGTCCTGTCGCTATACGCCAGCTCCGTTAGGAGGGCAGTGGCGGGGGCAAGGACATGGAAAAGCGGCCCGGGAATCTTTAACAAAAATAACAAAATCTCAGCGGTGCTTATTGAGTCAACGTGGCGGACTTGGGGAGGGGAGGGGAACCTTGCTGCCTGGCTAATTTGCTGTAGAACAAATTAACCCAATATTGTATTTCTCATTATTCTTAGCCTCACTTAGCTGTTGTTAAGCCATTGTCTCTTGTCGCTCCTCGTAATAAAAGCTGTGACTTGAATAAATTTCCCCAGCAACTTTGTATCAGCAGCACATCTGCGGTATCAGCTCGAGATTGTCCTTTATCTGTTCCTGACAAAACGTACCCTGATTGAAGTTTCCAACGTTAGTGCTTCTCCTCCTGGAATTCAGCGTGGAGCAGCTTAGTGCGAATGTTTTGTGTGTATCCATGGGCAATCAGTTGTTTTTCTGATAATGCTGAAGAAAACAGAAGGCAGCAGCACTAGCAAATGAAACATGATCATCTTATCTTATAATTACTTGCGTAAGCAAGAGCTGAAAAAATTAATACTGCGACAAACGTTTCCTTGAAAAGTCCATCTCCATGGTGCTAAAAAAACCCCACCAAACCACAAACCAAACCCAAACCCTTCCAAATATCCTAGAGCAAAACTCACGCTGCAGGAGCTCAGGATCTGGCGCCCTCAGCGAAGCGGCGAACCCGGTCCTTGCTCATGAAGGAACAGCTTTTTAAGGATGAGCCGAGCAGGAGCGCTGCTGTCGTGCCAGCTGTGCGACAGCGAACCAAAAATAGGGAATCTTGGGCGAGAAGCAGCAGCAGAGTCTGCCGCTGGAGGAAAATAACCTCACTGGCAAACAGCAGTGGCAGTTTCTGCCCGATGCCCGCTTTGGAGCAGGGACAAGGTCCTTCCGCAGCGGTTCTCCGCTTCCCAAGCTCTCCCGAGTGCGGCCGCTGCTTCTGCGTGTCACACTTCGCTCCGCAGGGTCTCGGAGTCAGGGCTGTGTGCCCACACCAGCTCCGTTGTGGCGCACGGGATACCGGCACTTAACCGGTGGGTTTTTGCCAGCCCCTCTGTGCTAACTTGTTCTGAGCAGACGAACAGGGGCACGAGCCGAAGTTTCGCCTCACGGCATGATACGTGCAGGAAGGACTTCATAGAATCATGGAATGGTTTGGGTTGGGAGGGACCTCAAAGATCATCCAGTTCCAACCCCCCTGCCATGGGCAGGGACACCCTCCACTACACCAGGTTGCCCAAAGCCCCATCCAACCTGGCCTTGAACACTTCCAGGGATGGGGCAGCCACAGCTGCTCTGGGCAACCTGTCCCAGCGCCTCACCACCCTGAGAGGGAAGAATTTCTTCCTTATATCCAATCTAAATCTGCCCTCTTTCAGTTTAAATCCATTGCCCCTTGTCCTGTCACTGCACGCCCTTGTAAAAAGTCCCTCCCCAGCTTTCCTGTACTTCGCGCCCAGCCGTTGCACGTACACGGCAGGAACAGGCGAAGCCTTTCCGTTGCGGTGTTTTCCATAGATGAGTGGCATGCTGATTTAAATCTGTTAAGGCTGTATTGATTACGGTCCCCCTGTCCATCAGCATCATCCGTCATCATCTCCGGGCTGCCAGCGTGACAGCTGTGAAGGAGCAGAATAAAGTTGACTGGCAGGATGTTTTGCATCTAATGAGCCTGTGCACAATAAGAGTATAATAAATAACGCTCCGGAGGAACTCGGCTATCGCTTCAGCTCCGAAAGAGCGATATTGCCAGAGCAGAAGCTCCCAAAGCCATCCGTCACCTGTCACGGGTTGCATGCCTGTGGCTGAGCTGGACTGAGGGAATGGAAAGCACCACAGACTGGTGACGGGCGCCTTGTATCACGCAGGGAGATATAAACCGGGCTGACATCAAGAACCCGGAATCACTCAGGAAGAGCTTAAAACTACAAAGGCACCGCGGATTTGACGCGGTGTTACTTAGCAGCGCAGGCTGCTGGGGAGGCTTTTTCCAGATGAACCTTGGTCTGACATTCACTGAAAAAATCACGTAGCGAGAGCCTGTCTGTGGTGTGACACACATTTAGCAGATGGCTGGGACCCTCAGGAATGAATTACCACAGCTTAGGGACGATCAGGAAAAAGCAGCAAAGGGGCAACGGCCCAGGCACCAGCCCTCGGGTGGTGGGTTCAGACGTTGGTTCTGATACAGGTCTCCTGGGTGACATTGAGCCCATGCTACACACAGGACAATAAGCCTCCAACATGCTGCCAGGAGAAGACTACTGAGAAGCCCCTCAGCCTACCCGGAGGTCCACCAAGAGCAGCAGCGTGATGGGGTGCTCGCCCTTCTGGTCATACTGCTGTTGCATCCCAGAATTTGTTTTGAAGCATCACGAGTTGCAGGACAGTCCTGCCATTTCCCTGATCCCCCTCCCCGAGGCTTTGATGTCCAAGTGCTGACTGAGGTCGGCCGTAGCGGTGAAGAGTCGGGAGCTGTGCCACCTTCTCCAGCAGCCTGGCACGGCCCATGCCCTCACCTGGCACACAGGAACTGCTGCTCTGGGAAGCAGGAGACCTCCTGTGGTCCCCATGGGCTGCCTCCTCCTCTCTGCACACCCCGCCTCCCTTGACCAAGTTGCCTCTAGTGGTCTCACAGGATGTGGGGAGCCAGCATGGTAAAAATTGGGAAGGGCAGAGAGATCTTTGCTGTTTCTCTGGCCGAGGCTGTATCAGCCTGCTGGCCTCCGAAGGGAGGGAACACAGGAGCCTTAATCCAAAATAGCCTGTGGTTGAACGGGCACGGAAACCCCGGCACCGTGGGGGAGGACATGAAAGCCTTCGGTAAAGCCCAGTGTTGGTCGAGTCCAGCTGTCTCACGTGACATCAGCCCTGATCGTACACTCACCCAGCAGCTGAGTTTTCCCAATTGTTGGAACATCCAACACTGCACCATTGCCAACGTTGGGCTGAAAACCCCGAGATCAAGCCGGCCAGCAGATGTCTGTGCTACAGCTTGCTTCCTTCTCATTTCCGACCCTTCCCCGAGCCTTTATTTCAGATTCTCGAGCTTGTCCCAGACTACATGCTCCTTTTATTAAATGGAATATTGTTACCATCTTGAAATTGTTTTTGATGGACTGGGCCTGAAGACTGGTGCCTGCATTCAAAGACGCAGGACTGCTTTGCTGCGGAGTTTAATTGGGGTGCTGTTTTTTCCTTTTGAACTTACCGTAATTATGAACAGATTTTTTTTCTAATATGTCCTCTGGTTTCTCCCTTCGAAAGAAAATCTCGTATTTAATGAACTTAATTTTAGATAAAAGGAATTAAAAGAAGAAAATTAAAAATGCATGAAGCTCCTAGAGTCATCCAATTACTGTGATGTCCACACAGCAACGCCGGCATGGATTTTACAAAGCAAGTAAGAACAGAAAATCGCTGGGGCTGCCACATGTAAATGCTGCTCCGTGCCCAAACGTGCTGAATTAGAAATGTACATTTTATGCATTTCTTCTTCTTGATCTGTTGCAGAAGGAGATGGAGATCAAACACACCAGCCCGCCCCGCGCAGCATATGTATGCGTAGCCAGAACGCTCGCTTGCTTTTTTCAAAGCCACGTCTCGCTCCGTAGCCGGAATGCCGGAACACATAGGAGGATCAGCAGAGGACGGTCTCTGCACTCACACTGCAACAAAAGCAGCGGCCGGGCCGGCGGAGGGAGCATCCCTCCCGAGCAGCTTCCAGCAAAACGGAGGAAAGGCTGATCCGGCTGTCACGCACCGCCGCCAATTCCGGATCGCTCCCGATTGACTCCGCGCCCGCGACAGCCTCCTCGCCTCCGCCGCGCACAAGCGTGGCCTGGCACGTGGCTGCGTCCTGCACCCTTCCTGCTGGCACAGGGCTCGCTGGGACCGGAGGACCACGGACAAGGAGCTCCCAGCCCCAGTAACAAAGGAACGGGATGCTCTCCGGAGGGACCCAGCTCCCTCCCTCGGGAGGAGGTTGTTTTATAGACAGCCCCAACCTCCGGGGTGATAACGCTCAGAGACAAGCGCTGTGCAAGTGTCTCAGAGCAGGTGGGCATCTCGGGACATATCTTCATTTATTCCCCAAACACACCACAAAAAGGCTCAGTGTCCCGGGGCAGGATTGCCATCGAATCAGGAAAACATGTAGTTAAAAGAAAGCACATGTACAAGGAGGCCGTGTATAGTGCCAAGTAATATTTACTTTGTATTTAAATTTTCTTTGACTATAACATGACGAGCTGCACTCTAGGCAGCGGCGGTCTCCACACGTACAAGATGATATTGTTTATTTCTTCCCAAAAGCCAGCGGGGGAATCTTAATGGTAGAAGTCATCAAAGTCGTCTGCTTCTGTGCTGTGAGTCTGTGGCCGCAAAGCAGCCTCAATCTCGGAGCTGCTGTCGTCAGATTCGCCCCAGAAAGCTGAGAGTGAGGAGAAAAAAAAAAAAAAAGATAAAATCTTTTCCATGTTTATGTCACTTATGTCACAGACGTGATCATTTTACAGCTCTCGGGAGGCAGACAGACATGGGTCAGAGTTTTGAAGACCGCAAGACCCAGGTGTGCATTTCTGATGCGGCGCGCCACCAACACATCGTGGTCTCCGCTGACGGAGCCGCGGTGGCCAGACAGTGGGCTCATTCAGAGGTCCCACTTCATTGTTCCTCAAGGTAGCTTGAGAGAACATTTCCACTCCAAGCAATATACTTGACCAGCTGCTGCCTGAATTACAGCTTTGTCTATTATGCTCCACTTTCTGCCTCTGCTTGACCCTGCGGTGAAGTCACAATTGGGCCATGACATCACAGAGTTGGCATAAAAATAGCAATGATGTCACAAACGCAAAATCACCACTTTGTGACAGGATCAAATACAGACAAGACCGACTTCCAAGAAGTGCACGGCTTTAACAAACAGCTCTGGGAATTAGCAAACAATTCGACTGAAACAAACAGCATCCCATTGAAATGGTGATTTGAGTGCCTGGGAGATTCCTCAGCACGTCAATTCGTTTGGCCCACGGAAAACAAGCGACCAGCAGGGCACCTGGGGAAGTGTTCCTTACAGAGCTGTGCTGTCTGCCTGTTCCTGACGGCTCTCGGAGGCCGCTGTTTGTCCAAAGTCGATGCCCCAAACGAGGCATCAGGCTCAGGAACAGGGATCCGGGTGGCAGGAGGGAGGAAGGCTCTCACACCTCACACAGCGACTCCAGCTCACGTTTGCCTGAGGCACCGTTAATGCCTCCAGCACTTCTGATGGCACAAGCCATACAAACATCTTATCTACAAATGCAGCAGCTGCATCTTTCATCCCACATCCCCAGCCCCTCGGACTGCAGGTCCGCGCTCGGCCGGGAACATCAGAGCGGTGCCGGCTGCACCCGGCGCTCGCTCCCGCACCGAACGCGTGAGAAGAGGCTGAACACGCTGAAAGGCTCCAAAACACAAACTCCCAAGTGGAGAAGGAAACGGGCTGGGCACGTAGAGACGCCTTTCAAACGGCACCAGAGCGGCCGTTGTTTGTGGCATCCTTACGCCAGCTCCGGTGCCACACGTGCCCTGCACCGTTCGGGGCGGCGGAGCGCCTAGAGCTGAGCTCCGGGCAAAGAGCTCCCGCTCCCAGTGCTGGCTTCGCTGATGGGAGGCTCCATTAGAGGTGACCTCAGACACCAGCGGTCCTTGTGGTGGTTAAAAGAGGAAAACAAAATGCAGAGAAGGATGACAACACGCAGGGCCCGAACACCAATTTCAAAGAAAGCCTGCTTGCTCGTGGAAAAAAAATCCTTCTGGATTTTTTGTTCCAGGTGCACAGGCACCTTTGAGCGCCCGCCTGTTGTAACTGTGCCAACACACCTACTTGTGCACGCTGTGCGTCACAGGGAAGATCAAGAAAACGTCAGGTTTTTCCTTCTCTAGGTTTTCTCCTACCTGCTACTCGCTTCCGTTCGATTCGAACCCCGAAACAGAGACCGCTACTCCTTCCGCGCCACGCGCCCCACCAAACGCGTCCTCTCTGGGCTGGAATTCGTCATTGCCAACCGTGTGCTGGCTCCTGAGTCGAGACAGGGAAATCCCACCTTTTCCCACCTCCTTATGCCCGTACTGATATGGTTCCACAGTGTTGTCCTTAGAGGTTTTCTACAGTATAAATCACCCTGAAGGCGACGCCTGTTTTAAACAGCGTAACCTTGGTTCTTACCTTTGGACTTTATGGCAGTTACCATTCTCTTCTTGGTTTCAGCCCTGTAAAAGAGAAAGATTTCAAATAATCAGTGCCGTGTCACAAAATTAAAAAAATCTAAGTTGACTTTTTTTAAAAAAACTGTAAGGTTTTTAAAAAAACCACAAAACTAACGAGAGTAACTTCTGTAACTACTTTTTTTTTTTTTTTTTTAAAATAACTATTTTCTCAAGGGTTTCGTGACCTTTGTGTCTTCTAAAAGGTGGAGAAATTCACATGCAGCAGAGACACTGGTCCAGATGTTCCGGCAGCCTGAACGGGAGTTGTTCCTTGGTCAGAGCACCCATTTACACCAGTAGTGAATTAAGGCTACAAAGGACGAGAGCTCCGTCTATCTTTTGTGGCCTTTCAGATAATGCAGTGAAAGTAGAGGGAAAAAAACAAACAAACAAACAAAAATAAAAGCACCCTGCACTGCTGCTCACTCCTTACTCCAGCCCAGCTCCTGGGTTCCCATCGCATCCTCCCGTCCCTATGGAAATGTGCCATCTCCCGGCTGCCTTTGATCTACCTTGATGTAGATGCAGCCGCGGTCCTGTTCCGTTCAACGGCTGCTCCTGTGTCTCCAGCATCACGGGCCCTTTTGAATCCCTCAGACAAGCTGGAATCACTTTGATCTTTTGTGTGTAGCACGTGTGTTGTGTCGGTGCCGCGAAATCGTCGCGCGGGGGCAACGATGGAGGAGAACCGACTGTTGTGTTAACAATCCTGCAATAAGCTCTCAAAGTGAGGCTGCAGCTGGTTTTGGTAAGGAGGTCTTTGCCACATTACGGTGCCAACTAGGGAAACGGAAGCAAACGTCCAGCTGCGATTTGAAGCTGTTGCCGCCGCCACAACCGGACTCAATCAGCTGTCAAAAATTTCATACGTTTCATTTAAAGACACAGCAGCTCATATCTAATTGCTTGAAGCAGGGAGTTAATTCCAACTGCTATTGTGGAGGTATTTGTGAAGGAGATACAGAAAAAAAAAAAGCCAAGATGATTCACTGCTTGTTTTATCCCACTGTATTCAGGAAGAATTTGTGCTTGCAGCTGGAAAGCTGGACTTAAAGTGGGGGAAGTTGCACTGGGTTACAGCTCCCTGTGTTACGGACACTCTTCCTCTTAAAGAACAGAAATTCACTGTTTAAATCGTATTCCTTTTCCACAAGCTGTGAATGCCGTTAGCACACAATCTCCCTCTTTGCAGATACGCAAAAATTCCCAGAAATAGAATATTAAACGCAGCCAAAGTTCAACCAGGATACCAAACCGAGGCTTAAGTACTAGTAACAAGTAAAGTCCTAGTCGAGTATCAAGAGTGTGACGTAATTAATTAGTAACTTTTAAAGTGAAAACCTGAAAAATGTTAGCCTTCCAGCGTTTATGGCATTTTGCTAGCACGCCATCCCAACGCCTTTCCGTTTCACTCCGAGCCAAACCCCACGCTGCGTTACACTTCAGCTTCTCGTTCAAGCACATTTACTCGGCAGTACTTCCAGCCAGTATTTTAAGTCAAAGCCTCTGGGTTGAGCCCCGCAACACGCTGAACGCCCTTAACCCTTGCTCGCTTTGGTGAGGTTTCGTGACCCTCGGCGTTTCCCAGGAGGTGCTCCACGTATCCCAGGCTTAGCCCATAAAAATGTGCTCAAGAGGCTGCAGCTCTGGCGGCTGCATCGTTTTTCTCCCCCTGGGTGCAGAGCGAGAAACCACTTGTTGCTGAGCTACAAATTGAGAGGTGACTTCTGTGGCAGGCTGCACAAGAACCGTTTTATCTTCAAGTAGTTCAGTAAAACGAGACGAGGCAGCTGGCAGCCACCGCTTCCGCTGCCTGCTGCGCGTCTCCCATCCCCGAGGAGGGAGGCCTGCGGGGTTTCGTTACTCAGCCATGCTAGGAGGGCCCTAAAAATGACCTTTTTGCTCTGCTTCTCTCCGCAGTTCCAGCCCAGATCAAAGGGTTGGTCATTTGGGCCACCAAGGACCACCACGCACAACGTGGAGCATGGGACGACCCATGGACTGCCAGGTCTTGGCTGGCTTGGTCCTCCTGCACAACTCAAAGCACCACCAGGTCTTCCAGGTCCAGCTGAAGGCCAGTGGTTTCATGGAGAAGTGGTGGTGGACAAGGAGCACCACGGCTGTAGGAAGGTCTGGAAACCTTCGTTCTTCTGCCCCAGCTTGACGTTGACAGGACAGAGAGGAAGACAGATGTTTGTATTCTACCAAAACCCATCCATGTGCCGGGGTTCATCCTCCCGGGGCTAAGTCACCGTGCCCAAAAGCAGGATTCACTCCCAGAACGGCACCGAGCCGTAGCGCTGCGTGCCGGGAGCTGGGCGTTGGTGTGATGCAGCAGCCAACAAAGAAAAAGAGATGTAGAAAAGGACATCAGCAAAGGTTTGGCATGAAAGCTGTGGGCACACAGAGAAACGCCTGGGGAGAGACGGAAAATGGAACGAGGACATCAGAAAGGCCAGATCAGAAATCGCAGCTCCGCCAAACCAGGCCTGGAAAATGCTGCAAGATAGCTTTGTAACAGGGGATAAAATTCCTGAATTACGTCTGAAGCGTTAGTCAGGGCCGATAAGATGCAAGACGACGTCTACGTTGCAAAACATTCGTATTCAGAAATCGGCACATTCAATCATGAACGTTATCATCTGGTATCCTGAGCACACAATAACCACCCAGACCTCCGCGGAGAAATTTTAGGAGTATAAATGAAGTAAGGCCAGCTCCACTGCCTCGACTAATCCCCCGTCGTGACCCTCCGATATCCATTTACACATTTGCTTCTTCCCTAAAATAATTCCAAACTGAACCCAGGCTCTAACAAAGAAAAAACCCAAACCAGTTCAACTTCAAAGGGCCTTTTAATCTCTCCTTTACTCTGATGAAACAGGCTTTTTGTATTGAAGATGCTGCAACAATAAGAAATGAAAAAGCTCCAAGGAAATATTTTTCCCCTCCATGAAGAGAAAATAACATTAAGAGGAAAATACCAGACCAACAAGAGCCAAGTTGATTGAGGCAGCTCACTGAAAAACAGGCTAAAGTAAACATTTTCTGCTAAGTATCTCTTTGCTATAGCACCTGTTGAAGCTCTATGTTTCAGTGTTAAGTGAAAAAAGACACCCAAACTCCAATGGGGAAAAAAAAAAAAGACACCCAATTGCCAAGAAAAAAAAAAGACACAAAGAAAACTATCAATACATCAAGGGGAAAAAAAAAAAACAACCAAAAATAATGAAAACCACCCAATTTCCAAGAGGGAAAACCACCAGCTGAATACCAAGTTTTATGAGAAAACCAAACAAAACGAAGCGCAGCGGCCTCGGGAGCACCGACACTCCGGCTCATCTCGCCGAGGCTCCAAGCCCGTGCGCCTCCATCCCACCGGAAACAAATCCAGGGTTTCTTTTTCACGGGGTAGTGCTTCACAACCCCCAGCGGTACACGAGGACGCAGAGTCACAGATCCATCTTTAAAAATTCTTTTTCCAAGACATCTACCAGCCTCTCGGCAGCAGGCGAGCCGGGCTGCGCGGCGCGGTGCCTCCGATGGGACGGTCTCCGTGGCGGACCGCTGCGACCGTACGCTTTCCTGCCGGCTCCTGCAGAAGCAGGAGTCATTTTCTACTCATCGTTCACCAGAAATGGGGCATCACAGAAGTATCCCCCGCCCTGGAAAGTCAGTATAGACTAACCAATCCGCTCATCACCCCAGAACTGGAGTAATAATGTTGAATTTAAGTAATTCCCGCTGCAAATAGGATGACCTTTATTTTAGGAGACAAAGACCTACATCGAGCTACCTTTAAGGCAGTTCTCTGTTTAGATATACCACGCTGAAGGAAAAAAAAATAAAAATTCTTGCCTAGAGAAACTGCTAACATCACAGCGCCGTGGTGAAACTATCAGCAGAGCACAGGGCATCGCCACGAAAATAAACTCCGTTTCCTCCGTGCTGCAACAGCGACGTATTTAGACGGACGCCGTTGCCCGTTACCGTTCCTCACCGGTCCTCGTAGAGTGCCGCCGCTGCGACGTCACCGTTTCTGCCACAGCTGGCTGTTAGGATTTAGGAGCTCACGGAAACATCTGCAACATCAGAACAACGTGCCCGAATTCGCAGCTGGCTTCTCACAGGAGCGATGTGACCACTGGAAGTCCGGCAGGAGGACGGAACGCTCAGAGAGGGGCTGGTTTCGGGGTGCACCTCCGGGGAGCCTGGAAAGGCGCTATGCATGTTCCATGGGTTTCCTGGTAAACGCCTCTCCTGAACGCTCCCAGCCCCAAAACTCCGGAGTCTCTCCTCCAAACCGGGCGCGTTCCCCTGACTCGGCCGAGCGACCTCGGGGCCAGTTTTGAGGGGGGACACAGGGGTGGGTTGTGCGGGGCCAGAGTGCCCCCAGCAGTGGTCCCGGGGTGAAACATCGCCCCTGAGAATAACTCAGAGGATGAATTATGATCTGCCAACTTTTATTTGCGCATCATTACATCCGTGTTTGGTAAAGGCAGCTTTCGACTGAAAACCAGCCTTCCGAGAGCAGAGCGGATTCCTTCCGGAAGACAGATTAACCAAAGTTTAAAATATTTTACGCCGTGTTTACGCCCCGACAAATTAAAACTGTTGTTTGGCTCTCGTTTGATAACGCGGCTTTAATGTCCAGATGATTTTTGAAACGAGACAGCGCAAACGAGTCGGAGAAGAAAATGAACTGCTCGCATCGAAAACTGGGAATTACTCGGAAAGCTGGTGACCTCCACTGGCTGCATCCATCGCTACAGCGCGGCGGAATGCCACACACATCGCCCGCGGCCCGCGCTGGCGGAGAGACTCGGCCCTGACTTCTGATACCTTTCCCCCGAGTAATTGTGTGATTTAACGCCCTCTTTTCCGCCGCAAAACACGGACTCTCCCAACCAAAGCCGCATCTCCGTGCCTGCAAATATTCTCTCGGCGAAGCAGGCGAAGCCGGGAAAAAGCAGTTTTGTAGCTGGAGGCAGAGCAGGACGGCGTTTGCGGGAGAAGAGGAAGCTCCGGCATGCACCTCCGAACAAAAGGGAACAAGTGGTCTTTACTCGGAGAGCAGCTTCCCATTAAGACTCACTCCTTCGTACATTATGCCTTTCATCCCCACTCAACCACAAAATGATTTTGCTGTAGGAAATACAATGGCAGAAAAAGATTTACACTGAAAGAATCTTTAATAATAAACTGTTGCAGATCTGCCCACTTCCCCGTGATTTATAATACAATAAACATCGGATTCTATTAAGTCTCATGCACTGAAGACACGCACTGAAAAACCGAATATGAAAGCCCTCAATTCTTCCCGTCTCCAGTACCATAATGGTGAAGCGAGCATGTATAAATGTGCTAAGAGTATCTCTTTGCATCTTTTCGAGCTTGTGTGTATTAATCTGTAAAGCTTATTAAGAAAGTCATTGCTATGCAAAGCAGCACCCAATCCCTTTCTCTGGCTTTTCAACAGAGCGCAGTGTTTGGCCAATGGGACCCGGCCCCGGCCCCTCATTCCGCATTCATCACATGCCACCCTGGCACAATGTATCTCTCAAAGGCTGCTGAATAGAAAGCCTTAATACTCATGTAAACAACTGCAAACCAATTACTTAATGAATCAGGCCCACACATAATGAGGTGCCAGACAAAGAGCTATAAATGCATTTTTGCGCCCGAGCCTCTGCTTTAAAGCGAAATCCCTCAGCTGTAGTCCGGGCTTAACTGGCACATCGCGATTATTGTCTGGGGGACATCAGAGGAAGCCATGTTTTTTTGTGGAGGTCCGGCAGGGTCTGCGGCGAGGTCACTCATCAGCTCAGTGACAAAACAGGGCGCAGGAGAATTGGTAAAAAAGCGCCCCGGCCGCGCCGCGCCGTCGCGTTGGTCCTCGAGTAGCGGGTTTCGAGACCACTTGTGAAGGCAATAAAGCCCGAGAAGTGACTGCGGTAAGTGGAGCGCTCCGGCGGGAGCGGCGAAGGCATCGCCCGCGTCCCGGTGCCCTTCCCGCTCCGCCGTCCCTCCCACGGGGCGCCCAGTAAACCTCACGTTCAGGAGGTGCGTTAGTTCTGACTCGTTTTAGGAAAAACTTAACTTTAAGCCGCCGTAAGAGGTTGGTTTTTTTTTTTTAAAGCAGCATCATCGCGTGCCAGCGCCTGAAGCACATGTGCTTCTCAGCACTGAAAGGCAGGAAATTATAGGGCAGGGTGAATTATTTTAAAACCTGTCACAAATAAGGATTTGAAACAAAAAAAAAAAGTTCAAAAAAACGTACGCCATATGAACAGCATCTGAAGAACGCAGAAGTTGCTGAACACATTAATAGCAATCAGTGCCAAAGGGGCAAAAAGCTTGGAGACTTTTTTTTTAAATAAAAAACAAGTTTGTTTTAAATTATACATATTTTATTCAGATGCCTAACAGTGATCTCGTCAGCAAGTTCTGCAGGGCCAAATCCTTCTCTCCTCCTGTCCCGGGCCTTCAGTGAATGACTAAAATTTAACATTTCAAAATGCATATATAGGAGCACCCTGCATTTGATAGCGTTAGGTGGTACGATTTGGAACGCCAAACAAAGTTCCGGATAATAAATTAAAAAAAACAAAACAACAGGAAAAAAGAAAAAGAGTTTGAACTTAAGACTGTAAGAATTAATCCTAAACAAAAGCCAGAACGTCATTCATCAATGTGGTACCACGACTTGTCTTTAGTTCCTGTCCTTGAAGAACTACAGAAATACCGCGACTGTAACACAAAACGCAGAACAACGTTTGCAAAACTGGAGTTGCGTCCCGTATCCGAACTGACCTCACCAGTAACAGCACAAATAAAAGCTGCGGAACGACAGCGATGCCGTAACGGACCGAGCTCAAGGTTTAGCAAAAGGCTCCAACGCCTTTTCCCGAGCGCTGCCGTGGCGGTTTTCCGAGCAGCAGCACCCGCTCGCTGGGCTGTTCCAACAGGAGCAGACACGGATCTAAAGCCCACCCGATACTCCACGAGACGCCAGTGTTGGATCCTACTTTCTGTTGCTTCTTGACCACTAATTCGATTGCTGCTGTTCGATTCCCGTTACATGCCGAGGAAGAGCACACGGAACATCCAACAGAACCGCTCCGGGACCCAAAGGGAACCGTGGCAGTTTAAAAAAAAAAAAAAAAAAAAAAAAACAAAAAGGCCCCAATATTTTTTTTTCTTTCCTTCTTTTTTAAAAACAACAGACCAAACTGTGCCCTTTAGGTACGAGTAAGGCCATTAATTAAGCACACTGGGTTTGAAAGCGAGCGAGATGTGTTACAGATACCCCAGTATTTCTATTATCAAATATAACCCCCCAAATCCTGAGCCCACGGAGAGCGTTACCCAGTTACAGCCAGTTTACATCCCGGATACATGGAGAAGAAACCCAGCACTTTATTTCTTGAAGACTTTCTGTTTTCTGCCTGCCCCTCTCCTGACAACTCCCATTGTCTGGCCCCTGAGCAGCCCTACTGAGAGCAGCTGGACACGCTAATTTGTGGTTCACTGAGATGTCAATTGAGTCTTAAAATGAGAAAACAACAGCTGCAAAACAATGCTTGGCTTTGGCACAAATATTTTCTGAGGTGTACCAAAGTTTAAGATGTTCTATTAGATAAACATAAATACGAACCTTCACCCTGGCTCAAGTGAAAAATAAAATCCGCGGAGCTTCAGCCGTTTTTTTTCTCCGTGTTTCTCATTCTGCAGAAGCGTTTCCAACGCTAAAGGGTTCCACGACTTTACCTTGAGGAGGGAGGGCTTCTCTCATTCCATGAAGAACTCGTTTCCGAACGCGTTTCTTGGTGTTCTTTTGCTTGGCAACTCTCATCGCCAACATCCCAACCTGCGAAGTAAAAGCAGGAAATATAAATTTTCAGGGAATGG